ATCACCATCATCATCATCACCACCATCATCACCACCATGATCATCACCACCATCATCATCACCACCACCATCATCACCACCACCACCATGATCATCACCACCACCATCATCACCACCACCATGATCATCACCACCATCATCATCATCACCACCATCACCACCATCATCACCACCACCATGACCCATCATCACCACCACCATGACCCATCATCACCACCATCATCATCACCACCACCATCATCACCACCACCACCATGACCCATCACCACCACCATCATCACTGCCATCATCATCACCACCACCATCACCACCACCACCATCATCACCACCACCACCACCATCACCACCACCACCACCACCACCACCATCATCACTGCCATCATCATCACCACCATCATCACATTTTTGTGGTTAAAATTTCCAGTTGTCAAAAACAAGGCTATCAAGACGGGTTAGACGAAGGCAAGTTGAAAGGTTGGAACCAAGGCTATGAAACAGGATGTACGCAAGGAAAACAAATTGGAAATGAGGTATTAACATTGTAAAAAGGCATTGATTCTCAGGGGAATAACCTTACAAGTGTCTCAAAACTTTCAATAATTTAGGTTGGATTTTATAAAGGATTTGTCCTTACCTGGCTAGCTTGTTGCAAGCAAAACGAGAAAGTCAAAGTAAAGTTGGAAGCTCTGTCTAAACTACTTGACCAGGATTGGAGTGACATGACGAGAGATCTCATACCTGAATTACAACGCATCAGGGCTAAATTTAAGCAGGTAAAACACATGAATACTAGAAAACAGTTTCTATCTCTGACCCACTTCAGCTGTCCCCTTAATCCTTGCTGTACACACGTAAAAACGCACAAGTTGTTATAAGTCTACAAAACAAGTTGTTACAAAATCTGTTTGTAAGCTGTCGACAAGTTGTGTTCGCACTGCTTGTTCCTAGTTATTGGAACAAGTTTGGAACAAGCTGTTAATAAGTTGTAACAAGCTTGATGGCATTGTTACACTTGTTACAAGGTTGTTCTAACACGTCTGATACAGTCATGATATAACAAGAATGTTACAAGGTTGTTCTAACAAGTCTGATACAGTCATGATATAACAAGAATGTTACAAGGTTGTTCTAACAAGTTTGATACAGTCATGATATAACAAGAATGTTACAAGGTTGTTCTAACAAGTCTGATACAGTCATGATATAACATGAATGTTACAAGGTTGACAACAATATTGTTATGTCATGATTGTATCGAACTTATTGGAACAACCTTTCAACAAGTCTGAAGGTCCAGACACACCGGACGCGATTCGACAACGCGACGCGATTTTTCGACCGATAACTTTGATCCTAGTTTAAATTTTCTAAATATTTAGAAGCGCTATAACATTTTGAGTCATTTGGTCAACATTTCTTTCAAAATTTGCTCTCATTGGCTGTTTTATTAACTTTCAAAAACTAAAAAATCGCGTCGCGTTGCCGAATCGCGCCCGGTGTGTCTGGACCTTAATAATATCAACAAGGTTGTTACAAGTTGTTAACAGCTTGTTCCAAACCTGTTGACAACTTGGGACAAGCAGTGCGAACACAACTTGTTGACAGCTTGTTGGCAGACTTTAATAACTACAAGATGTGAGATTGTTGCGTGTGCAATCTCCTAATGATGCACCACCTCTTCCATGTGATTTCATAGAGCAACAATTGCAAGCCAAGTGGTGATTAAAATGTCCTAAATAATATAACTTTCCATATTTTAGATCTGCTCCATGTTAAATGTGAATATGGAATACACAACAAAGAATGCTGCCACCCAAATGACATTCTAGATAACTTTGCTACTATTAACTCCCAGTCTGGATGGCTAGGCCTCTTTTGAAGAGTATAACCCATGGCAACTTTGAGGGAAAAGTGTCTATAGTGAGCTTTCATTTTCAGTGGCATCATTTAACCATAAATATACATTTTCTGCTTTTCAAATAGCGACTATACAAACTTCTTAGATTAGACTTACTGTTAGTGCGTGTCAACCTCTTGAAACGATTTAATTGATTTGTGAGCTCACAAGAAAATACTCAGAATGCTTTAGTTAAATATCACGGTTAAATATGTAAGCATGTCGAGGTTGTTATACAGCTATATTTATATTATGTACTTTAACAAATTTACTGTACTGTGCTACAGCAACTGTCCAGTCACACGTACACGATAAAAAGCTGATATAAACTTTATGAACAAAATATAATGTGAAACGTAACAGAACGGCGAACATGCAGATTTGGCCATCTCAAATTATGGTAATGTTGGGATAGTAGCGTTGCAGACTGCAGAGGAGAGTGGGCAGTAAGGCTCCCTCATACACCACCCCATGGAAAACCTGCATCCCTCCTTGCAGGTGAGGCTAGATACTCTCCTATTGATTTTATGTTGATGCATCGTAGCTTAATATATCTCGGATCTTAAAATTGTAATTTCTAGACAAGTCATTTATCCATACAATTTAGTATTTGATCCATTAGGCTCTTTAATTCTCTCCTCAGAGGCGAGAGATTTCCTCAATTCAACAATGTCCTACAATTTTGTGGCATTCTAATTTAGAAATACTAATATACTATTATCATTTGACCATTTGCGTAATAGACTAAATTTTGATCTCAACAAAAATTTCATTACAGCTTTAAAGAGCATCACAAAATTAGTAATATTCCAAAGTTTCGTTGCAAAATGTTGTAAAATGCGGAAAATATAGCCTTACGAAATTTTCAATTTTCAGTCATTTTAGATTACAAACCGGAAATTGACAGCCTCGAAGGGTTTGGGGCTGTCAATATCCCGTTTGTAATCTAAAATGACTGAAAATTGCAAATTTCGTAAGGCTATATTTTCCGCATTTTACAACATTTTGCAACGAAACTTTGGAATATTACTAATTTTGCGATGCCCCTTCAAGCTGTGATGAAATTTTTGTCTAGACTTGTTTAGTTCAAAATTTAGTCTATT